AACACTGGCAGAGTAAACAAAGCAAAGTGTCTGGGAAGTGCTGTAAATACTGCGTGGAAGACTCAGGCCAAGAGCTCTTGCCCAGTCCTTGCCATTCTGACGTTACCAGACATTACCATTCTGTGCCACAGGGTGTCACCCCAGAGCAAGGTTTTTAAAAATGCTTTCCTTTGGCCCAACTTGGCTGTTAACCATAGGATTGGTTCTGTTGTAGCATTAATTTTATCAGAAGTATGAGTTTAAACATGTGCCATGAACACCAAACTGTGTTCACCAACGTTTGCACACCAAGTAAGTTCAGAATCTCCTTGTTTTTCAAAGCTTTAATTTTCATAGAAACGAAGAAAGCTGTGTGCTTGTGGAAGCGCGAGCACACCCAGTTCTGCCAGTGCATAGAGTTAGCATCCTTTGAGATAACTTTAGTTCAGCCACAGTGCATTTACCAGGACAGGAATGTGTTCATTTTTTAGACATTTTACATATGTATTTTTAAAAATAATTGTTTATTTGAAAGGTAGAGTAGCAGACAGGGAGAGACAGATCTTCCATCTTCAATCCCCCAAATGGCCACCACAGCCAGGTCTGGGCGAGGCTGAAGTCAGGAATGCCCTCCTGGTCTCCCACGTGAGTGGCAGGGGCTCAAGTACTTGAGCCAGCGTCTGCTGCTTTCCCAAGTGCATTAGCAGGGAAGTGGATTGGAAACGGAGCGTCCAGGACGTGAATTGATGCACCACTATGGCATGCTGGCTTCACAAGTGGCAGTTTAACCTGCTGCAGTATAATGCCAGCCCTTACCTGTTTAGTTTTCACCCTTTTTATGAGAATATGGACAGATGCCAGGGACAAGAAGTATAGAGTTACCATGGAAACAACACTGAGGGAGCAGAATCGCATCGGACAAAGTTTATGACTTGGTGCGTGCTTCTCTGGAGGAGGTTGTGTAGAGCCATCCTTGGGTATGGGTGAAGCCAGGCTCTTTCCAGGTCCCTGAAGTGGCCCATCAAGCTCTGTTAGTAGCTGCACAGGTCTTAAGTAAGACACTCAGGAGCTAAGCAGGCTACTGCCTCCATGGCCCTGGAGTCCTCCCTCCATTGGATGTAGTTAGTGCCTCTGCAGGGGATGTCCCGCCTTACCCCAAGTGGTGCGTGAAGGTGACAGTCAACTTCAAGGCCGTCCTCTGGGCTGTTGCTACAAATTTGCCATCAAGAGAAAAAATCCAAGAGATCCCAGAAAGGGCAGATCAGGCAGTGAGGAAAGGAGTGGGGTGGTGGTTTGCTAATGCCCGTTTGGAGCTGGCTGGAATCTTCCTGCAGGGGTGTTTAGACACCAGGGAACATGCAAGCGTGCGTGCTGTTTCCTTTGAGGCTGGAAGAGCAGGAAGATGCGGTACCTGGGTTCCTCCCTTGATTTTAAAAATCCTTTACCATTCTGAACCATGTAACCTAGAAAATGTCCAAACTTTCTTTTTCTTTATATCTTTCCCTCTCTTTTTAAAATATTTATTTATTTGAAAGTCAGGGTTAGAGAGAAGATACAGAGAGCTCTTTCATCCACTGGTTCACTCCCCAAGATGCCACAATGTGCAAATCTGAGGTTGAAGCTAGGTGCCAAGAGCTTCATCTGGATCTGCCATGTGGGTGCAGGGGCCCAAGCACTTGGGCTGTCTTCTGCAGCTTTCCCAGATACACTGTCAGGGAGCTGGTTGGAAGTGGAGCAACAGGGACATGAACTGGTGCCCACGTGAGATGCTGGTGTCACAGGCTGCCTCTTTACCCACTATACCACGCCAGCTGCATCCATAAACTTTTCAAACAAACGAACTCATCCAAATCTCAATGCAATGGGCAGAAAATGACGCTAGCATTTCTCTGAGAAAGGAGTGTTTCCTATGCTTTTTCTTTCATTTCTCATTATAGAAAGGATGAATCCTGACTCTTTCCCAGGTTCTGCAGAATGGGAATGTGATCTCTAAGGAAATTTTCAGAGTTTGAAAACCAACTAGGGTGTCCCAGGAAGTCGTCATTCACATACGGCCAATCTAGTCACACAGCTGGTGGTGCCAGTTTAGTCATCTCTGCTCGGGGCGCATCCTCTTCTCTCTAAGCTGTATTCATTACCTCTCTTCTGCTGTTTACTTATTTTCTTTTAATAGAAAAACACAGTTGACATGTTATAAGCCTCTGTTACTTTTTCTGATAGAAACAAGTGGTATTCAAAAAGTTCATGGAAAATGCACTTTCTACAAACATCTATGAATGGATTTCCAAAACCTTTTGCACCAAAATGAACTGATCTCTTAATTTCAGGTTTTCAAGAACATTCTGAAATATCCTCCTATAAAGTCAGCTATGCCACAGAGCATAAAATATTTTAACACTATTCAGTATAATAGTGTAGCATTTAAATAGATTTAACATCAAAATTCTTTTCCTTTTGTCATTTTAAAGTTTGTGACTGTTTTTTTTTTATTTTTTATTTTTTCATTTAAGGCAGACAAATTTCATGCAACTCATAGATACAGATTCAGGAGCATAGTGATACTCCCTACCCTACCCTCCCTCCTGCCCACACTCCCACCCCTCCTCCTCCTTCCTCTCTTATTCCTCTCTCAATTTTTACAATGATCTACTTTCAGTTTACTTTAACCCTACACTAAGAGTTCAAATGTAACTAGTTTTTCTTACTGAGGTATTATCTTTAATAATTAGTGCATTTATCACTTTCCCAGGGATAGTTTTAATAGATCTTAAAATGCTAAATTTATTAACTTTTATTTGTATGGTGAGTACAGTCAGCCTTCCATATCCATGCATTCTGCATCCACAGGGTAAGGAAACTATGGATTGCAAATATTAAACAGGCTGGCGCTGTGGCTCACTAGGCTAATCCTCTGCCTGCGGTGCCGGCACCCCATGTTCTAGTCCTGGCTGGGGCACCAGATTCTGTCCCGGTTGCTCCTCTTCCAGTCCAGCTCTCTGCTGTGGCCAGAGAAGGCAGTGGAGGATGGCCCAAGTGCTTGGGCCCTGCACCCGCATAGGAGACCAGGAGGAAGCACCTGGCTCCTGGCTTCAGATTGGCGCAGCGTGCCAGCCATAGCAGCCATTTTGGGGGGTGAACCAACAGAAAAAGGAAGCCCTTTCTCTCTTTCTCTCTCACTAACTCTGCCTGTCAAAAAAAATTAAACAAAATACAGTATAACAACTACCTACATTATACTAGGTAGTATAAGTAACTTAGTGAAGATTTAAAGTACATGGATATATGCAAACACTGCACCATTTTGTGTTAGGGACTTGAGCATCTATGATTTGGGCATCTGGTGGTCGTGGGGTCCTGGGCAAATCCCCCTGGATACTGAGGAATGATTGTATTTGGATCTAAGGTCTGTGCTATTCTTCTACCTCTACGTTTACTGCAATGTGAGAGAATTAGAATAAACTCTGATCTATTTATTGAGATCGTTTGGGCATATCAGATAGATATATGTAGGAGCTTGGGCATTCTGCATCATTCATTTGTTTGTTGCACAACAAATATTTGAGTAGTGTGCCAGGCACTTTTCTAGGTGTCCAGGATATTGCAATGAGCAAAATGCTTGCCCTCAGGGCTTACCTTTTAGTCTGGGAGGCAGATAGTGCATAAAAAAAGTGAAACGTATTGTATGTTATATTGTGATACAAGCTAAAAAAATTAAGCAGGAGAGATTTTAAGAGCTGGGGATATAGTGAAATTTCAGATTAAGAGTCCAGAACAAGCCTTAGTAGAGTTATGTGGGGAAATATATGAGTCAGAAGAAAGCCCAGCTGTAAATCTTTGAGGTGCAAGTGTGCCTGGGATGTCCAAGGAGCCACAAAGAAGCCAGCAGGAGCAGAGTGAAGGAGGGGATGCTTGCCTCTTGGCTGCTCCACTGTCTGCCAGCCACGTTGTGTGGCTCCAAATATTCATTGAATGAATTAGTGGAATTAGATTCCAGAACTTTTAGAGGGAAGATCAAGAGTGACTTAGAGATGGGAAAGATGAGGGGGAGTCAGACGACTTCCCAGCAAATGCTAGGCTGGGTGGAATAGAGTTGGGAGGGGTCTCCGGTGGAGACATTGAAAAGTTTTCTGAGAACAAAAGCTTGCTGCCTACGAGCGCAGAGGCAAGAGACTTGGGAGGTGACAGCTGAAGAAGTAGAATCCACGAGGTCTTCGAGGGGGGTGGCCTTGGGCAGGGTCATGGTGTGGGGATGCAGAGGGAAGGGCTCATTTCGTAGCAGATCCTCAGGGCTCGATGGGGAAGCTGGCAGTAAAGAGAGCAGGAGCCAAACCTAACACTGGCACTCTACTGACTACTGCAGTACCACTGATTGGGTTGACAGGATGCAGATGATTTGGGGAGGGCTGGGAGAGTGAACACTGAAGTAGAAGACATTTAGTCACACACGGGGTTGAAATGGGGAGCCACCTTTTAGTCTCATCCGCTGGGATGCTCCAAGTCACTGAGCCATTGAGGAGCCAAGATGGCCTCTGGTAGGAGGGAGCCCCTCGTACAGCGCTGTGGTGCCAGTGTCACCAGCAGGTGGCGCACTCCAGCGTGTGCGCTCCAGAGCTGCCGAGGGCCCATCTGCCTGGCAGCCTTGGTGCTTTACCATTTAACCTGGAGCTCTGGCCATGTGTTTCCGATGCTCATGGCAGCTGCTTGGTTTGGGAACACTGCCTGGTGAGTCTGTCTGTACCTGGCAAAGCAGAACATTCCTAAGTGTGTCTGCACTCATCAAAGGGATGCCCGTTTTTCCCAGCGTCCTCATTCAGGCGTGGGTAGACTTCTGCTTGGCCGATGTGGCAGATGAGAAGTAATGAGTCGTGAGCAAGGGACAGGTTGCAATGGCTTGGTCCCAGAGAAATGTGCCAATTTGCTGCCATCAAGGTTAAATATTAACTGGCACGTTTAAAGAAGGACAAGATACATTTGGGACCAATGGACTGTGAGCGCTCACTGATGTGCTGTGTTTGCCTTAGACTTACCACACGGGAGCTTTGTGAAGTCGAAACAATCAAGATTAGAGGACGAGGCTCCCGGATCCAGCACAGTGGCAGGTAACGTGCTGCACCCGGCCGGAGGTTGGAGGAGGAGTGAGATAAATGGGCCAAGATGGATTGCAAGGGAGTTAGTTAGATTAGAGTAGCTACAGAAACCTAAGAACTAAGCACTTTTTTCCTTTCAAAGACAAATTGTTGCACAAATTACAGATTAAAGCAAGTAGCATCACCTCCTAGCATTTTGATATCTGCAATCCAAGCAGTTTTCAGGGACTGCGTGTTCTCCCAACAAGGGTGGGAAGCCTTTGTCTGCCAAGGGCCATTTGGATATTTATAGCACTACTCGTGGGCTGTACAAAATTATCCTTAAAAATGAACTTGCAGTAGATTTATTGAATTTCAGGTCCTGCCTGCAGTTGCCTTGATTTCAGGGGCCTTATATGGCCCACAGGCTAGACGTTCACCACTCCTTTGCCAGCTCTCTGCTTTAGCTGATAATTACTAACTTTTGTTAAAGGACTATATAAGGGGGTCTTCAGAAAGTTCATAGAGACGTGTATTATGGAAGAGCTATGTGTAGTTTTCAAAGTTGAGATTTTTAAAAGTAACCTCTTATAGTAATCGGGGAGAGTGATCTGGAATGTCCGTGTGTGTTGGACTGGACTTTTGGATAAACAGCACCACACGTTTGGAAACAAAGGGCTCCAAGATGATGAGACTGGCAACCCAGGGGCCCTGGGAGGCAGTGGTTCCGGACAGTCTGGGTTTGAATCCTGGAGTTGCTGGTGTGAGCTTACACAAGTCACGTGATCTGGCTGTGAAATGTGGACCATAGCAGTGCCAACTTCACACAACTTTTTTTTAATGAGGAATTAATGGCTCCATGTATGCAAATGCCTTAGAATAGTACCAAATACTGTGATGTCTCGTAAGATGGATGCCAGAGGCCATCTCGCCAAGTTGTCCCCACAGTTCCGCCCCAACCGTGTTTTATGTCCTCCTTAAACCTCTTAGAACACCTCAGCTGGCTTCTTAGAGTATCAATTGCTCCAATTACAAATGCTGGTAAGGTCATTAATTGCAACAAATAAACTAATACCAGATGTTTAGGGAAAAGGGTTTGAGGGGGTTGACGGGAATGCTGTATTACATCACCATTTTTGTCTTGTAAATTTAAAACTGTTCGGAAATAAGATGTTCGACAAAAATGGTTAAATGCTGGGAAGGTTTGGAGGAAGGAAGCACTTTCCGGAGAGTGAGGTGTGGAGGGAGGCGTCACAGGCACCTGCCATGCTGGGCTCTGCACAGGTCAATTTGTGCAGTCCCCGCCAGAGTCCTCCACGCTGCAGGGTCACAGCCGGGCGGCCAGGGGGCAGCACTGGAGCGTCCAGCTGCAGCCTCTGGGCAGCGGAGGGAATGAGCACAGCTACTTGGAGCAATTTGTTAGTTTGGTTTAATGTTTTCTTTTTGTTGTTCAGAAGGCATTTCTACCCCAGCTCTGGAGGCTGTGCCGGAGAACTCAAGTGGTTCTGCCATTATCACAACCTTTGAGAACTTCTCTAGGCGACTGAAGAGAAAATACGAGGTAATACCGTGCTAGCAGTGAACAGCTGCCTCACTGTAAGCCCGGAGCACCTTACGGGAAGTGACACAGGCCAGACACAAGTCCTGCGCGGTCTAGCTCACTTCCACGTGGAGTCTAAGAGCCTCGAGCTCAGAAAAAGGAGAAGGCGTGGAGGAAATGGGGGGATGCTGGTCATCGTGTACGAACTTGAACTTCGGTTGTAAGAGGAAGAAGTTCTGGGAATCTACCCAGCAGTGTTGTGACTTTGTTACTGACAATGTGTACTTGAAATAGATTCTAATTCTTTCCACACATACAGAAAAGGTAATTGGGAAGTGGTGTGTGTGTGTGTGTGTGTGTGTGTGTGTGTGTCTAAGCTCTGTTGTGGTGGCATTTTACAACATATACTATTCCAGGGTACTTCAAAAAGGTGGAGGAAAATGAAATTAAAATATAAGCTTATTTTTATGCATTGTTCGAAATCCATAGTTTTTCATAATCTTCCCTGAACTCTTTGAAGTATAGCATTTTGTAACTTTTTGCAACTGAATGAAGTTAACTTTTTTTTTTCTTTGACAGGCAGAGTTAGACAGTGAGAGAGACAAAGGTTCTTCCTTCTGTTGGTTCACCCCCCAAATGGCCACTATGGCTGGCGTGCTACCAGGAGCCAGGTGCTTCCTCCTGGTCTCCCATGCAGGTGCAGGGCCCAATCACTTGGGCCATCCTCCACTGCACTCCCAGGCCACAGCAGAGAGCTGGACTGGAAGAGGAGCAACCGGGACAAAATCCAGCACCCCAACCAGGACTAGAACCCCGGGTGCTGGCACTGCAGGTGGAGGATTAGCCTAGTGAGCCACGGCGCAGGCAAAGTTAACTTTTTTTTTAAAAGATTTTATTTATTTGAAAGAGTTACAAAGAGAGGTAGAGACAGAGTGAGGTCTTCCATCCGCTGGTTCACTCTCCAGATGGCCACAATGACTGGAGCTGCGCCGATCTGAAGCCAGGAGACAGGAGCATCTTCCAGGTCTCCCACATGGGTGCTGCAGGGATCTTCTGCTTTCCCAGGCCATAGCAGAGAGCTGGATCAGAAGAGGAGCAGCCAGGACTAGAACCAGCACCCATATGGGATGCCAGTGCCTCAGGCTAGGGCTTTAACCTGCTGTGCCACAGTGCTGGCCCCAGAATAAAGTTAACTTTTAGTTCCATTTTGCATGAACTTTTTGAAGCCCTCTTGTATGTATATCAAAGAATCACGCATGCACTTTATATATACACGATGCCTCAACAAATCTGAAAAAAAATCCAAGCATTTCTCATTGTGAGTTATAAGTAGTGGGTCAGAGTATTCATGAGTGCCCTCTGCTTCTCCTTGGGGAAGGTGGCCATCCCTGAGTCTGTAAGGAGCATTGTCTAAGCTGTGGACATTGATTTTAGTCCCTTTGTGACTTGTGGCTTGCACTTACAAGACAGCTCTTCTATGTGCATTTGCTCATGGGACTGCATGAACCTATTTGTAAATCAGATTCACGGTTGGGTTTTATTGGTGGCATTCTCAGACAACTGAGCCACTAGAAAGCAATGACTTGGTACCAGAGATGGACAAGGAGGAGAGAGGGGGAATGGCCAGTGGTCTGGCTGGAACTCTGAGACACTGCGTATACAGTTGTCCTGAAATCTTGTCTGCAAAATGAACAATGGAGCCACTGCATCCTCACATTTTCATCCTGTTTTTTACAAATCCCTAACGACTTGGTTATTAGCACATATAAGGAAAGTGTCTTACCCTAACATTCATTCAACTAACTTGGAAATTCTTAGTCTTATTTCTGCAATACTAATGCAAGTCATTTATAACAGAAATGTATTCATAGCATTCATTAATATGCATGTTGATAACATGAATATACATTTTCCTGTTGTAGCATGTTGTTTATTCTGCACCTAAGATAATTCCTGAAAAGTGTATAATATGGTCCTTTACTACTTTAGCAGTAAAGTTATAAATATTATTATATGAGAGTACTTCAAAAAGCTCATGGAAATGGGGTTAAAAATAAGTTTATTTTGGTGCAAAACCTTTTTTTGAAATCAATACCCAGTTGTACATAAGCTATGAATGTTTCAGGAACTTTTCGAAGACCCCTGGTCTGCTTGCAGTCTCTCTTAAATATAGAATGTGAACTGAACTTCCGTAGTCGTGTTTAAGCCAATGTGATCATTCTGTTGTGGTTTAGCTTCAGTACAGAAAGAGTCCGCTCCATTCAGAAAAGGCAAAGAAAGCACCGGATTGCCTGACGCAGCTGTTAGACCAGATACACCTGCACAGGTAAGGGTAGGATTTCAAACTGAATTCGCAGAAGTGCGGTCACTCACACACAATGTTTATCTCGTGACCACTGAGAGGCCCCGAGGAACTGAAGCCTGGGCACTTGCGAGGTTTAATGCATCACTTAAGCCCCTGGATTTCTGGTTCTTCACTTACAAAAGGGGTTGAAATAAATGCCCTCCTTAAGCAACTAGCATTCTGAAAAACTTAGAATCCAGTCATGAAGAGGAGCTGTCATGGAGATAGATGTAAAAATAATAGATGCATGAGATGTGGTGTATCCGTACAGTGGGATATCATTCAGCCTTCCAAAGGAATAGCTTCTGAGACATGCCAAGACATGGGTAAATGTTGCAAGCATTGCACTAATGGAAAGGAGTTAGAAAGGAGCAAATCCTGTCTGATGCCACTCACATGAGGAACTTAGAATAGTCCAAGTCAGAGAGCACATTCCAGGTGACCAGAGACTGGGAGAAAGAGGACTTATTATTTAATGGGCACAGAGTTTCTCTTTGGAATGATGGAACAGGTTTGGTAGTGGACCGTGATAATGGTTACAAAGCATTGTGAGTGTGCTTTGAACTATACACTGGAAATAGTTATAAGGATACATTTACGCATATTTTTACCATAATGGGAAAATGCTACACACATATGCATCTACCCATACAAACACATACATGCTCTTATGACCATGTAGCAAGAAGTACAAATGTGTCAAGGTTTCAGAGATGGGAAAGATGGGTGATAGTTTCTAGTGATCAGAGTTCACACAGAGCACTTTTAAAGGAGGAGCTTCTTGAGTGAGATTTTGGAAACAAAGATTTGAATGGCACAGGAAGGTGAGTGTGGGTACTGTTCCCACCTAGAGACCACGGCCCATAAATGAAGGAGGGGAAGAAAGAGAGGGCAAAGCGTTTGCTTTATTAATGAAGACACTTTGCTAGAGGTGAATGTTATTATTTTATTAGAAATATATTTTTCAGATTCCTGTTTGAAAACATGCTGTGTCATTTGATTGTAGAAACAAGCCCAGGGAGGATTGGATCTATGTAGTTCCTGTTATGTTTCGGGGGTTTATGCTGGTGCATGCCTGCTCCATGCAGGGGTGCAGTGAGAGCAAGCCCTGGGGACTCTTACCTTCATGGAACATCGAGTCTCATGGAGAAGAATAGTACTGCAGTAGCAGCTTCCTCTGAGCTGCTGAAGGAAGATTGGCCCCAGTAGGTTGCTGGAGCTGGGGATGAGTAGGTAGACAGGGGGTGGAAGAGAAGGGAGAGGACCACACATTCCTAAGAACTGTCCAGTAAAGAATATGCAGTATTCTTATTTATTTATTTATTTGAAGGGCATAATTTTGGGAAAAGGGAGGGAGGGAGAAATCCTCCATCTGCTGGTTCACTCCCTGAATGGCCACACAAGCCAGGGCTGAGCCAGACTGACAACAACAGCCAGGAACTCCATCCAGATCTCTCACGTGGGTGACAGGGGTCCAAGTACCTGGGCCATCTTGTGCTGCTTTACCGGCTACATTAGCAGGGAGCTGGATCAGAAGTGGAGTCCCTGGGGCTTGAACTAGTGCTCACATAAGATGCTGGTATCTCAGGTGGTGGCTTAAACCTCTGGCCCCTAAAATCTCTTCCAATAAGATTGAGTATTTTTGGTTACATATAAGATGTCCCAGTGAAATTTGTTGTTGTTTACGTTTTCAGACTCAACAAACTAGACCAGTTTCACAATGTTGTTCTCCGAGAGCTGAGCAATCTGGAGAAGGACATGCAGGCTCTGAGTGAGCTCGAGAAGAATGTGCTGGTATGTTCTTAGCGTTTGGAAAGCTCTCTGGGATTGAAGAGAAGTTTCCCAGGGCAAGACAACTGCTCACTTCTTACCCCTTTTGTTGAATTTTAGGAGTTTTGGGGGAAGCAGTCTGCTGATCTGAAATCATTCTGTGACCTTCAAGTGCTGAGGTGCGTTGAACAGCATTGTTTGTGGAAGATTCTTAATTGACGCGTGAGGGGATGCTTTAGCTTGAGTCTGGGTGGTTGGTGTTGCTAACACTCACACAGCCAGCTGCTTCCAAGGCGGTAGAGTGGGGCTAATGATAGTGGCTGAGAAACAAACATTTTGAAAAGCATCACAGGATCGCACACGTTTCTTTTTCGGTCCGTCGAGATTTATTTGTATGCACATATAACATCCCTATAAAGAGAATCCCAGGATTTTCCCTCTCATGTGGTTTTGTTTTGCTTCTTCATGGTCTGTGATGCCAGCTGAGGGTGTCAGTACAATGAAACCAAACCGGTGGGATGGGAGCAGATTATTTTTCTAGATCTTTCAGCTGCACGTCACATCTGGGCCCGATCACTCCACACGTGTTTAACCTGCCGGTGAGGTTCACAGCTCCTGGCTCTGTGATCATCCATGCTTTCAGTGTCACTAGTGTGACCATGCTTCATGGGTACAGTTGGAAACCTGATGACGACTGTGGAGCATGGCCTAATAAGGACCTGGCGTTTGCCTCTCTTTCCAGCAGTTGCTGCTGTTGAGAATGTCAGCCAGGGCATTCATGGGCACCATCATGGTGGCACCGGAAGGTGGAGGAAACGGGGCCATGCGAGTTTCTGTGTGCGCGAGCCAGACTGTCCTCTGTTAAAGCTATGTTTTTTAATGATTAAGTTTTCAGAAAAGCATTTAGGTTTCTGAGAAAATAGTTGATGTTCAGTTAGACGGAATTCTGTTCTTGACAGGCTCTGTATATACGTATGACGTCTGTTTGTATGCATAGCAGGTGCACACATGCACGTTTTTCTTTAAACAAGGGCTTCTCTTGCCACACGTTACTCTCACGGTAACTGGTGCACATTTGGAAACAGCTGATCCTGTCCAGCTGGAATGTTGCCCCTGTTCTGGAGCCTTGGACTGTGGGAGTGGAGAGTGGGGCTTGAATTCCTCTACCCGTGCCCTGGGCAGACTCCTCAGGTTCTCTTCCCACTTGAGTAATCAAAAGAAATGTCTATAGTAAATTCGTAATGGCTGAAACATTTTTTTTTTAAATCTATTTATTTGAAAATCAAAGTGACAGAGGGAGAGAGAGTGAAAAATCTTTCTGTAATGGGCAGTGTTGGGCTGAAGCCACTAAACTCCATCCAGGGGTCTCATGCATGGTAGGGAACCAAGGACTTGGGCAATCCTCCACCACTTTCCCAGGTGCATCAGTGGGGAGCCGGATCAGAAGCAGAGGAGCCAGGACCCAGACTGGCCCTGTGATTTGGGATGCCAGCTTCACAGGCAGCGGTTTACCCATTGCTCCATGATGCCAGTCACACGGCTAAAGTTTTACCAGTGGAGAATCAGCTGCTAGCACAGGAATCCACAACAAATGGTTTGAGGGATGGCATTTCTGATTGTCTGCAAGCAGAAAACAAACGTGAAGACTCGAGTTACCCATCCTTCTACTTACTGACATTCACGTGATTAGCAATGACGGCAGCAAGGCCAGTTTCCAGCATCCTTTCACATACTCACCTCCTTCCATGCAACTTCATGCACCATAATAGGTGATACCCCCCCCCTTTTTTTTTTTTTGACAGGCAGAGTGGACAGTGAGAGAGAGAGACAGAGAGAAAGGTCTTCCTTTTGCTGTTGGTTCACCCTCCAATGGCCGCCGTGGCTAGCGCGCTGTGGCCGGCTCACCGCGCTGATCCGATGGCAGGAGCCAGGTACTTATCCTGGTCTCCCATGGGGTGCAGGGCCCAAGCACCTGGGCCATCCTCCACTGCACTCCCTGGCCACAGCAGAGAGCTGGCCTGGAAGAGGGGCAACTGGGACAGAATCCGGCGCCCCAACCGGGACTAGAACCCGGTGTGCTGGCGCCACAAGGCGGAGGATTAGCCTAGTGAGCTGCAGCACCGGCTGGGTGATACCCTTTTTATCTCCCCTGGATGCCTGTGGTTGGTTGTTCTCAAATTTCTTGGACTTCAAGCTTCATCACACACTGGACATTCATTGAGGATTCCCAAAGAGCTTTTTTGCTTGCATGACTATCTTCCATATTAAATGTGGAGATTATTTTAATGATAAATTTATTTTAAAATAACAGTAAAATATAACAGATAATGAATTTTTGTGAAAATTAAGTAGAATTTTCAAAATAATATGATAAGAGTAGTATTGCAGGGCCGGTGCTATGCCGCAGTAGGTTAATCCTCTGCCTGTGGCACCGGCATCCCATATGGGCGCTGGTTCTAGTTCCAGCAGCTGCTCTTCTGATACAGCTCTCTGTTATGGCCTGGGAAAACAGTGGAAGATGACCCAAGTGCTTGGGCCCCTGCACCTGAGTGGGAGACCTGGAAGAAGCTCCTGGCTTCGGATTAGCTCATCTCTGGCCATTGCAGCCATTAGGGGAGTGAACCAGTGGATGGAAGACTTTGCTGTCAGTTTCTCCCTCTCACTGTCCATGACTACCTCTCAAATAAATAAAATATTTTAAAAAGGTAGTATTGCTATGTTTTTTTTCAAATTTTTAAAAATGATTTATCTATTTGAAAGAGTTACAGAGAGGCAGAGGCAGAGAGAGAGGTCTTCCACCCGTTGGTTCACTCCCCAGATGGCCAAAATGTCTGTAGCTGCGCCAATCCAAAGCCAGGAGCTTCTTCCAGGTCTCCCAAATGGTGCAAGAGCCCAAGGACTTGGAACATCTTCCACTGCTTTCCCAGGCCATAGCAGAGAGCTGGATTGGAAGTGGAGCAGCCGGGACTCGAACGAGCACCCATATGGGATGCCGGCACTGCAGGCAGCGGCTTTACCTGCTATGCTACAGCACTGACCCCCAAATTTTAAGATTTATTTGAGAGAGTTATAGAGAGGGAGAGATAGAGATGTCTTCCATCCATTGATCCATTCCCCAGATGGCTACACAGCTGGGGCTGAGCTGATCAGGAGCCAGGAGCCTCTTCTGGGTGTGGGGGCCCAAGGACTTGGGCCATCCTACACTGCCTTCCCAGGCACATTAGCAGGGAGTTGGATCAGAAGTAGAGCAGCTGGGACTCTAACCAGTGCCCATATGGGATCCTGGTGCTACGAGCCAGGGTTCTAACCCACTGTGTTGCAGCACTAGCCCCTAGAAATATTTTTTTTCAGCTTGACTTATTTTAAAGGTAGAGTTACACAGAGAATGGGAGAGTCAGAGAAACAGATCTTCTATTTGTCCCCAAATGACCACAACAACTGGGGTGGGGCCAGAGTGATGCCAGGAGCTCCCAAGCACTTGGGCCATCTTCCACTGCTTTCCCAGGAGCATTAGCAGGGAGCTGGATCAGAAGTGGAGCTGCCAGGACTTGAACTGATGTTCATCTGGGATGCCAGTGTTACAGGCAGCAGCTTCGCCAGCTGTGCCACAATCCCAGCCCTGCAAATCTTTTGTAAAAAATTAAGCGGCAGAGAGGAAGAGTTCCTATCTTACAGGTTCTTTCCCCAAATGCCCCGAATGGCCAGGGGGAAAGGTAATGGGAACTAAATGCAGTCCTCCTTGAGGCGAGGCTGGAGCCTGACCAGTTTGGCTGTCACCACTGCCTCCTGGGGTGCACGTTGGCAAGCAGGAATCTGGAACTGGGAGCCAGACTCGAGCACTCTGATGTAGGACTTAGGCATTTTAATCACTAGGCCAAATGTCCATTCCTGCAAATCTCTTCAAGGTCTGGCTGACTGTGAGGCAGCTGGATTCTCCCATCTGGATTCTCCTATCTGCTTCTGATTTTAATCTGTTGTGGGTCATGCAGAATTCTAGGGAATGCCACTGTACATTGGTGAGTTCAAGTAAATCTTGGTGTTGTTACTGCCGTTACCAAGGTTGACCTCGCCAGACCCCTAGTTCCTTAGGAGGTCTGCACTAAGGATCTTTGAGAAATGCTGGTATAAGGCAATCCTGTGTTAAACATTAAAGATGAGTATTGCTCCTAGTCTGGGAAACCTGGAGAATTTATTTTTTTTACACTTAAGTCCAAATTTAAGGCAACTGTCTCTTCCACTAGCACTGTACAGTATGCTTTACTATTTGCAGTCATCTCCCTTTGGTAACAGGCCCCTGTGGGGATTTAGAATTTCTCAGAGAACCTCTCTCTCTCTCTGTTAAAAATTTGTTTTACTTTATATGCAGAGAGAAAGAGATAACCTATCTGCCACTTGCTAATTCACTCCCCAAATGGCTACAAATGGTCAGGGCTGAGCCAGGCTGAAGCCAGGAGCCAGAAGCTCCATCTGGGTCTCCCATATGGGTGGTAGGAGCCCAAGCCATCTTTCCTAGCTTTCCCAAGCACATCAGTAGGAAGATCGATCTGAAGTAAAACAGGTGGGACACGAACCAGCGCTCCTAAGGGCTCATATGGGATGTCAGCTTTGCACGCAGTGGCTTAATCTGCTGAGCCACAGCACAGGTTCCATAACCATCTTTTCTAAATAAACATCCTTCAGGGCTTTGTGCTGCTCTCCTCTGTTCCAAACACTTGAGAAAACTGGCCTTGGCTTGAGTATGAGACCTGGTGGTGATCTTAGCTCTCTGAAGGCTTGCTGGCCCTAGGAAAGGTTAATTAGCTGGTTCAGATCATGCAGGTATCCAGTGTGTGCCTTTTTGTCATTTTTTATGTCACTGATGACTTTGGGTATTTTGCTAGGGAAATGAGAAGACTGTCTCTTAGACCAGATCATTTCAACCCAGAAGTTAAGGATTTGCACAGAGGGATGGTGCTGAAATGCCCCTACTATGTTGTGACAGAGGCAATGCACAAAGTAGAATGAAGTGAAAACACCAGTCTCTTAGGTGGTGTCCTGAGATGCTACTGACCCTCCTTGTCTATTATCAAGTCATGTAATGATGTGTAGGATCACTGTTACAGCGTAACACACACACACACACACACACACGGATGTATGTCCTTGTTCAAATTGTCTGATGTGAATGCAGTAATAAGAAATGGCCTCATTTTTTCCAGGCTTAACCCCATGCAGCCTTTATAAGAAAAACTGAAGCCCAGTGGGATTACTGCATCCCTCAGGTAGGCACAAAGCTTTGCTTGCGTTGTGCAGTCCATGTGAATTGGGGGTGGGAAGGAGTGTGCACTTTTTAAAAGCTACTCTGGTGTCCTGTATTGTTGAGCTCCCTCCCCTTACACTCTCCTCCATCCTAGGAATTGTCTTTTGGAATCTGGATTATTCATTCAGTAAATATTGACAGTTGAGTGCTTGCTTTGCATCAAGCACCACGCAAAACCTGGAAAGACAGTGAATAACACCCCTATGTAACCTGTCCCCATTAAAAATAAATTATAAGTAAACAGAATAACTGCGGGTTTCCTAGGTGCTTCGAGGGGTCTTAACACGATGCTTTGGCAGAGAGCAGGTGATCCTCAGAGGGCGCTCTGAGGAAGTGACATCTCAAGGAGAGGAAGCAACCAGGCTTGTGAACAGCTTACAGCAATAGGGTTGGGAAGGGGAGAACTTGGTGTCCTTGAGGAACAGAGCTCTTCAATCACAGTGAATGTCGGGGGACAGTTATTCGAAACGAAGTTGGGAGCATTGTAGAGTCCTTGTGAATTCTTAATTCTCTGTTGAAGACTTTGGTTTTTTACAATAAGGGAAAATACAGATAGGTTTTGAGCAAAGGCATCAGGGGTGAGGGTAACATACACAAAACAGAAATGTGATTAGTATCTTAAGGAAATCCTTCCAGCTGCTATGTTGAGAATTAGTTGGGGGAGTTAGGAATAGGAGAGCCCAGTTGGATGGCTTTTGGAGACGAAACTGGTGGCCCTCGCAGGAGAGTGGCAGTGGAGATGACGACGAATGGAGGATTTCAGACTTATCTTAACGGTGGAATTAACAAATTGCCTATAGATGGATGCAATAGGTAAAGAAAGGGGGGAGTTGAGGAAGTCTCCTAGGTTTCTCTTCAGCAGTTGGCTGCTGTCGCCAATTAGAGATAATGAGGATTCAGGGTGAGAGGAATGGGTAGAACTACTGGGAACTGGAGTTAACCTGTGAACATTTTAACTTCTGGGTGTCTGTGGGCATGCAAATTTTGATAAGAGCCTGGGATAAATGCACAATTTTCCAGGAAAATATAATGTAGCAAAATAAACAATGGAGGAGAAACCTTGAGAAACAAATGTTCTAGAGGAGATAAAGCAAGTTGTCACTAAATAACAACCTACGAACATGATATATGGCCCACTTTTCTTCACAGAATTCTTCTGGGACAAGGATAATCATGAGAAAAAATTATAGATCAGATTCACAAATTAATTTTAATCCATCAACGGAATAATCAGGTATAGGAGGACTTAAAATAGCTTCATGGCAAATGGGATTAAAAGATAAGTTTATTTTGGTACAGATTTTGGAATCTATGCATGTGAAGAGCGTTAAAAGTTGATGGCCAATGCATATTATGAAAAACTGCATGGATTACTGTTTTAAAATGTTTCATTTTACTTGAAAGAGGGAAAAGAGAGACAGTGAGATCTTGGATGTGCTGGTTCACGTCCCAGAGGCCCTCAACAGCGGGGATCCAGCCAGACTTGAAGACAGCAGCCTGGAACTCCACCCAGCTCTCCCGTGTGGGTGGCAGGATGCACATTAGCGTTGGTATTAGAGTAGGATCAGAATCAAAGTAGGATCCTAATTGAATTAGGATTGGAAGTGAAGTAGCCAAGACTTGAACCAGGCACTCTGATAAGAGATGCTGGCATCCCAAGTGGTGATTTGAGCCACGGTGCCAAATAGCCACCCCATGTGCAGATTTCAAACAATTTTGCACAAAAATAAACTCTTTGAGTCCCATTTTTCCATGAACTTTCTGAAGTACCCTCATAAATATTCCTGTAAAAATCAGAAAATAATACTTTTGCTAAAAATCCATTCATTTGGATGAAAACTAACAATAAAAACACTTGGAAAATTAGAGATGGAAAAGATATTGGGAATCTGAATATGTCTGCTGGCATCACTGCTCTTAGTGGAGGGAACAATTAAAATCGTTAATACGAATTTCTCTGCCTCCTATTTAAGCATCATGCTGACCATTCTTAGTGATTCTTTGAGGCTTGCAGTGTTAAATTTAAGTGAACTTGATCAGCTTTGCTGCATGAGTTTTCTACAGCAGAGTTCTGCCCAAGTGCAAGCATGTAGAAGGTACCAAGTAGGGGCTGGCGTTGGGGTGCGGTGGGTTAAGCTGCCACTTGCAATGCCTGAAACCCATATCAGAGTCCCAGGTACTCTGCTTCTGATCCAGCTTCTGCTAATGCACCTAGGAAATCAGCAGAGGCTGGGCCATGTGCTTGGGCCCCTGCCAGTCCTAGGGGACCAGGTTGGAGTTCCAGGCTCCTGGCTTCAACCTGGCCCAGTCCTGGCTGTTTTAGGCATTTGGGGAGTGGACCAGTAGATGAAAGATCTCTGTCTCGGTTTTTCCCTCTCTGTTGCTTGCCTTTCAAATCAGTTGATAAATGTTTAGAAAAAGGTGCTGAGTAGGCCTTATCTATCAGAGAAGTTTTGTTGAGGGAATATAGGCACAAAGGGCTGAGGCTGTTAGCCTAGGATTTGCTAGAAGGTCTGGGAGCACATACCTGTCATGTGATTAGAGGAGATACTCATGGAGATGAGGAGCTGGAGAACTGAGAAGTCCGTGCATGGAGATGGATACGTGTGTGGCTGTCGTCACGTATGTAGACCAGTAAGAACTAGGGCTCAGGGAACCAAGGGGCCTGGGGTTGCCAGCAGAGTGCAGAGGGGTGGCATAAACACCACTAGGGAGGTGTTTATGAGAGAGCAGGAACCAGTCTGCAGCAGTGGCAACCAAGGAGAATGCTGCTCCTCCTCCTGCCCAGGGAGAAAAGGGATAGCAGAGGCAAAGGTTTTGAGATGCCAGAGGGGCTGGTACTTGCATAAGTCAGCTCTGCTTTAGTTAAAAGGTGAAGGCAAGGAGATATTTCCTAGTAGAAGAGGCTAAGGATACTGTTTTGCTGGTGATGGATTGTGCTGTAAGGGTGTGGAGGCCTCGGGAGGGTGGACAGAGGTTGTGGAGTGGGATAGAGGGGAGGTACAGAGCAGCTCACGGGGCTCCCACACCGTGAGTTGTGTCACAGGAGGCCACTGGGGCCTATCAGAGTAACTGAGGACTGTGTAGGACAACCACAAGCTAGTCTGTTCTTGGATGCAGTCCTTCTACCCCAGTGAATTCTGTTAGTTTCTTTGATCCCATGACATTTAATATTGTTTATATTAATTTTTACAGATACCAATTCAATTCAACTCATAGTTTTTAACTAGATTTCCTAAGTAGGCCATGTCCAAATATATTTTTATGTGAATGAAATTCCATTTACCTTGAAGAGTGCCTCAATGTTTTTTTCAAAAAATGTTTCATTTGGGAGTAAAGGTAGTGGATAATTTTAAAAGATCTGCTTCAGGGTCCAAAGTTGTGCTTTATGATTTTGACCCTGTGATAACTAGGAAATTATCTTAAAGATGTGATTGAACATGTGCCGAGATGCAGATGATGGCATCTATTACACACTTGACAATAAGAGGGAGAGATGGATGATGTGGGAAAGCACGTCCATGTCCAGCTAGTGTTTGGTGGATTAGATTGATACAGCCATATGACATGCCATGTACCCATTAGAAGGGATAAACAGTGAAAACTGAAACCTATTGTAAAGCACCCTGTATGACACAGTCCCATGTGTGTGAAATGTGTGAATGTGTGTGCTCATTCACTCCATAAGCAGTAAGAGTCTGTTAGGTATCAGCTCATTCAGTCGCTCCCTCCCTCCTTCCCTCCCAATCTCTCTTTCTCTAAAAGATTTATTTTAAGATTTATTTGAAAGGCAGAATGACAGCCACAGAGGAGATCAATCTGCTTGTTCACTCCCCAGATGGCCACATTGGCCATGTTTAGAACAGGTTGAAACCAAGAGTCAGGAACTCCCAAGTATGTGGGCCATCATCCACTGCCTTCCCAGGTGCATTAGCTGGAAGCTGGATCAGAAGAGAAGCAGCTGAGACTTGAACCAGAGCTCCAATGTGCGATGCTGGCTTTGCAAATGGTATCTTAACCTGCTGCACCACGGTGCCAGCCTTTACATTCATCTCTTGGTATCCAAAGGGAATTGGTTCCAGATCTTTCATGGATACCAAAATCCAAGGATACTCAAGTCCCTTATGTAAAATGGCATAGTTTCAGAGAACTTAGACATCCCCCTATCTACTGTAAATCATCTCTAGGTTACTTATAGTACCTAAGACAATGTAAATGCTATGTAAATAGTTCTGTATTCTTCAGGGAATAACGACAAGGAAAAAGGTCTGTGCATGTTCAGTACAGATGCAGTTTTGCTTCAAATAGTTTGCATCTGCAGTTGGTTGAACCTGAGGATGTAGAACCTGCGGACACAGTAGGTAGACGGTACTGTTAGATCCTGGGATAGACTAACTCATGCAAGGTCCCTGACCTCAGAGTGTGCACTGTAGTGGGACAGAGACTAAACAAGCAGACATGTAACAGTGGCAAGTGCCAAGGAGGAATAAACTGGGGGGAGAGAAAAACTCAGTGTGTTGGCCAACGCTGCGGCTCACTAGGCTAATCCTCTGCCTGCGGTGCCGGCACCCCAGGGTTCTAGTCCCAGTTGGGGCGCCGGATTCTGTCCCAGTTGCTCCTTTTCCAGTCCAGCTCTCTGCTGTGGCCTGGGAAGGCAGTGGAGGATGGCCCAAGTCCTTGGGCCCTGTACCTGCATGGGAGACCAGGAGGAAGCTCCTGGCTTCGGATTGGCGCAGCACACTGGCCGTAGCGGCCATTTGGAGGGTGAACCAACGGAAGGAAGACACACACTCACACTCTCACACACACACACACACACTCTCTCTCTCTCTCTCTCTCTCTCTCTATATATATATATATATATATATATATATAAAACTATATATATATATATATATAAACTCTGTCAAAAAAAAAAAAACAGTGTGGAAAGAGGAAAGGTCAAATAAAATATTTTTTATTTATTTGAAAGGCAGAGTTACAGAGAGGAGAGGCACACAAAGAAAGAGGTCTTCCACCTGCTGGTTCACTCCCCAGATGGCTGCAACAGCCAGAGCTGGGCTGATCCAAAGCCAGGGGCCAGGAGCTTCTTCCAGTTATCCCACATGGATGCCAGGGAATCAAGGTCTTGGGCCATCTTCTGCTTTTCTAGGTCATAGTGGAGAGCTGGTTTGGAAGTGGAGCAACTGGGACTTGAACCAGCGCCTGTATAGGATGCCGGCACTTCAGGTGGCAGCTTTACCTATTTAGCCACAGTGCCACCCCAAATAAAATCTAAGTTCATTCCTAACACTTGAGTTAAAACCCAAAAAGTCCTAGGGAGCCTGTGGTGAGGAGAGCAGGGGAAGAGCATTTCAGAGGGAGTGGCCAGGACAGGTGTTCTGAGGCCATAAGCACTTGACATGTTCTAGGAATTCAGTGAGGGCAGAGTAGCACGAGATGAGGTTGAGGGTCTGTGTGGTGGGGAAACTGACACAGGGCTAACAGGTCATGGCAAAGAGTTTGGATTTTATTGCAGTTGCTGTGCAAAGGGTCATAGTCAAGGAGACATTTTCAAGGTCGTGTGTGTTGGGGGGTGGATGGGATGATATGGATGGTTAAGAAGGAGCTGGAAGAATGGCTGACAGACTGGACCTGACTGGTGGGAAGAAGGCAGGATCAAGGATATCTAGACTTGGGATGTAAACAATTGCATGGGCACTGCTGCCATGTATGGAAGTGGGGAAATTGGGAAAGGTCTGGTTTGATTGGTAGGAAAGAATGAGACTAGGTATGAAAAGTTGTATTTGGAATACATGATGGATCTTGAAAAATGTCATGGAAATGTACGTTTTGAAAAACCTAGGCTTGCATTTCTGAAATTTTCTGCACCAAAACAAATTTGCCTTCTAATTCCATTTTATGTGCACTTTAAGTCTTTTTGTATGTTCCTTGTGTGATTTCGGCTCTGAATTGAGTTGTCAAGTGGGTAGATGGATGTCTGAGGCTGTGTCATGGCTGAGTGCTGGGACTGGGGACCCGATGTGCTGACTTGGGGACTCTGTTTAGGGACAAGATGGCCCAGGACAAGGTTCTTGGGCTTTGGCATTGGCCAAACAAAAGGGTGCCTCTTCATTTTTTAAAAAGTGTTAGTTTCCTCACATAATTTGGGAAAAGATCTTTCTCCTTTTCAGAGCCAGCTCACAAATAGAGAAATGACTTAAATTCCACAAATTCCAAAGGTCAATCTTTTCTCAGTGGATGTGTGCCTGGGATTTGGGGGTGGGGGTGAGTAGGAATTTGTTCCCTTGATTGAGATCAGCTTCTCTGTCCTTATTGATGAGCATCTAGTGGAATTGACCTCTGATTTGGGTATTAATAGCATGTAGTTCTTTCACAGCATGGCTCCTAAACCAGGCCCAACCAAGAGCTGCCTTTCTTGTAACACTGGATGAAAAATCCACCTGCCACGTTAGGCTGTTGAGAGGTGATGTGTACACATATGTGCACATATTGAGAAATGCAGCACATGGTGGATAGACTTGGGGAGGGGCTGGCACTGTGGTGTAGTAGGCTAAGCCTCCACCTGTGGTGCGAGCATCCCATATGGGCACTGCTTTGTGTCTAGGCTGCCCCTCTTCTGATCCAGCTCTCTGCCATGGCCTGGGATGGAAGAAGAGTATGGCCCAACTGCACCCACATGAGAGACCTGGAAGAAGATTCTGGCTCCTGACTGTGGATGGGCCAGCTCTGGCTGTTGCAGCCATTTGGGGAATGAACCAGCTGATGAAAGACCTTTCTTTCTGCTCTCCCTCTCTGTGTCTGTAACTCGGCCTCTCAAATAATCTTTAAAAAAGACAAGACTTGGGGATACCTTTGACGTCAGGCAGGTCTCACTGAGGGCTCTGACCTTGGCTCTTGGCAGCCATCCAAGGTGCAACTTCACTGAGTATCTGAATAAGTGACGTAACTGACAAAAGGGGGTGCTATTTGTATGGGCTCAGCGAGTCCCGAGGGAACAAAGGGTGGGTAGTTCAGTCTTTAAAATTTTTTTTTTAAAGATTTATTTATTCATTTGAAAGTCAGTTACACAGAGAGGTAGAGCCAGAGAGAGGTCTTCCATCTGCTGGTTCACTCCCCTATTGGTCACAATGGCCAGAGCTGTGCCGATCCAAGGGAGGAGCCAGGAGCTTCCTCTGGGTCTCTCACACAGGTGCAGGGGCCCAAGGACTTGGACCATTGTCTACTGCTTTCCTTGGCCATAGCGGAGATCTGGATCAGAAGTGGAGCAGCTAGGACTCAAACCAGTACCCATATGAAATGCCAGCACTGCAGGCAGCAGCTTTTACCTGCTACACCACAGCGCCGGCCCTAATAGTTCCATCTTGACTAACTACTGTTCCTTCCCTTTCCTTTCCCACCAGGCTGAACCTCTGAAAGAAGAGGAGGAAGATGGAGTCACTTTTGTCTCAAGCTGCATAAACCACTCTTTAGGGCATGCTATTCATTTACTTTGTTCTACTCCCAACAGGATCGCTGGGAACTTCCAAGTTGGACTGGAAGACAATGTGTTGATAGTTCGCAGTTGTTTTAGTATCAATTTGTTCAAAAAAGTTAACTTTTTATAGTAAAATTTGGTCAGATACTAGAAAGTTCAGAATGTCCAGCAACTGGGAGTGATAGTTTTTTTTTATTATGTTAAAAGTAAAAGATTTTTATTTCAAAAATGTCTTCACATTTTGTAGAAACTTCAACATCTGTATCAATATGCTTTAGTATATGTTTTTGGAGGAGAAAACGTGAAAATTATGAAAATAGTTCAGGTGACAATGGTGGTATGTTTTGAAAATAAAGTTATGAGGGAGGTTGATATGATGTGCAAACATCTCAGTTTCTGTGTTTTAAGAAAGTGACCATCTGTAGGAAATAGAAGTATTTGTGTGATAATTACTAAATGCTCTCACCAAGTTTAAGTGCATGAATTTGCAGATATAGTTGAGCATTTGAATGTTTAGAAAACTGAAAACTGCATAAGTTAAGGCCATCTACAGAGTAACTATTAATTGGATGAGCAGAGTTAGACTGTAGGATGAACAGTCTAGTCATTATATAACCTGGTAATATGATTTAGTTTATTAATTTGTAGCTTACCTAAAACCAATGTTCACAACCTCATTTTACTGTTATTTTAAAATGAGCTGTTTTATTACATTTGACAAGATTTATAGAGTTTAAGCACTTATTTTTTTATTTGCATGCATTTCATAAATAAAACTTTAGGGACATAGTAATTCTTGCCACCATGCCTGTCCTGCCACTCACACTCTACTCCTCTTCCTCTTCTCTCTTCTGTTCCAAGTCTTTTTTTTTTTTAACTTTTATTTAATGAATATAAATTTCCAAAGTACGATTTATGGATTACAATGGCTTCCCCCCCATACCATCCCTCCCACCCACACCCCTCCCCTTTCCCACTCCCTCTCCCCTTCCATTCACATCAAGATTTATTTTTGATTATCTTAATATATAGAAGATCAGCTTAGTATACATTAAGTAAGGATTTCAACAGTTTGCTCCCACACAGAAACATAAAGTGAAAAATGATAGATGATTTTTTTTTAAATGATGATGAAATCAGATCAGACCTATTGTCATGTTTAATCCCAGTGAGAGTCAAGTTGGGAGTTGATAATTTTTTTTTTTTTTTTTTTTACAGAGGATCAGTTTAGTATGCATTAAGTAAAGATTTCAACAGTTTGCGCCCCCATAGAAACACAAAGTGAAATATACTGTTTGAGTACTCGTTATAGCATTAAATCTCAATGCACAGCACATTAAGGACAGAGATCCTACATGAGGAGTAAGTGCACAGTGACTCCTGTTGTTGACTTTACCAATTGACACTCCTGTCTATGGCATCAGTAATCTCCCTATGCTCCAGTCATGAATTTCCAAGGCTATGGAAGCCTTCTGAGTTCTCCGATTCTTATCTTGTTTAGACAAGGTCATAGTCAAAGTGGAGGTTCTCTCCTCCCTTCAGAGAAAGGTACCTCCTTCTTTGAACCAAAAAGGAAACCTGTTGAAGTGAAATGGACACTATGGGAAACGGTGACTTGATCAGCATAGCCCTGACTGTTAATGAACAACTTAATACATTATCCCTCTTAGTAGTTTTTTTGTCTGTTCTACTTAATATGACTGGTTTAATTCTGTAATTAATACACAGTTATTCTTAAGTGTTGAAAATTAACTGAAATGTGATCCCTGTTAAACGTAAGAGTGGGAATAAGAGAGGGAAGAGATGTATAATTTGGGACATGCTCAAGCTGACTTGCCCCAAATGGTAGAGTTAGAAACATACCAGGGGATTCCAATTCAATCCCATCAAGGTGGCATGTACCAATGCCATCTCACTATTCCAAGTGATCAATTTCAGTTCACAATTGATCATAATGAAAGGACTAAGAGTCAAAGGGAGCACATAAACATGTCTAGTACCTGCTAACACTAACCGATAGAATAAATAAAGGGGAGAGTGATCCAACATGGGAAGTGAGATACTCAGCAGACTCATAGAATGGCAGATGTCCTAAATAGCACTCTGGCCTCAGAATCAGCCCTAAAGGCATTCGGATCTGGCTGAAAAGCCCATGAGAGTATTTCAGGCATGGAAAGCCAAGACACCAAGTCTTTATTAAGATTTATTTTCCTTTAATTTTATACAGAGAAGATTGTGTTCAACACTTTGTATGAGGAAGAAAAAGAAAACAGACATAAAGCAAAAACTGTTTCTCAACAGTCCAGACAATGGCTGTTCAAAACCATTGCATCTCAATAATAATTTCACTTTTTTGTAGAAACTTAATTATTTTTAAAGAAGAACCCAAGAATGATACATTTTTGCAAGCACTTAAACATAAGACATAAGAATATCCTCCACTTAATACACTAAAATGAAGTAATTCTTTGAGAACAATTTTTACTATTAAGTCTTGAGCCATCTTATACTGATTTCCCAGGCCATAGCAGAGATATGGATCAGAACTGGAGCAGCCGGGACTTGAACCGGCACCCATATGGGATGCCCACACTGCAGGCAGTGGCTTTACCCACTATGCCACAGCACTGACCCCTCAATTAACTTCATACACATATGGTTAACTCTGTTAAGTAAGGAGTTCAGTGATTAGTATCGAAGAAAAAAGATAAAGGAAAAAAATTTCCTCAGTTAAGGCAAGGGCCTTTCAAAGTCACTGCTTCTCAAAGTGTCAATTTCACTTCTGCAGGTTGTCTTTTAGGTGTTCTATTACCTATCACAGGTCAGGGAGAACACACAGTATTTGCCCCTTTGGGTGGCTTATTTTACTGAGTATGATGTTTTCTAGTTTCATCCACTTTATTGTACATGACCGGATTTTGTTTTTTTTTCCACTCCTTTTAGTATTCCATAGTGTACATATCCCATAATTTCTCTATCCAGTCTTCAGTTGACAGGCATTTGGGTTAATTACATGTCTTAGCTGATGTGAATTGAACTGTGATAAACATGGAGGTATAGATAGCTCTTCCAGATGCTGATTTCATTTCTCTTGGGTAAATTCCAGGAGTGGGATGGCTGGGTCATGGTAGGACTATGTTCAGGTTTCTGATGTATCTCCATACTGTCTTCCAGAGTGGCTGTACCAGTTTACATTCCCACTGACAGTGGATAAGGGTGCCTTTTCCCCACACCAGCATTTGTTATTGATTTCTATATGAAAGCCATTATAACAGGGGTGAGATGAAAACACTGTGGCTTTGATTTTCTTTTTCCCGATATTAGTGATCCTGAGTGTTTTTTCATGTGTCTATTGGCCATTTGGATGTCCTCATTTGAAAAATGTCTAAGTCCTTGGCCCATTTCTTTTTTTTTTTTTAAACAGAGAGGTAGAGACAGAGGACATCCATCCACTGGTTCACTCCCCAGATGGCTGCAATGGCCAGATCTGATCCGATCTGGAGCCAGGAGCTTATTCCAGGTCTCCTGCCTGGGTGCAGGGGCCCAAGCACTTGGGCCATCTTCTCCTGCTATCCCAGGCCATAGTGGAGAGCTGGATTGGAAGACTTAGCAGCCGGGACTAGAATCGGAGCCCATATGGGATGCTGGCGCTTCAGGTCAGGGCTTTAACCTGCTGTGCCACAGTGCCTGCCCGCCTTGGTCCATTTCTTAACTGGATTGTTTGTTTTGTTGTTGAGTTTCTTGATCTCTTTATATATTCTGGCTGTTAATCCTTTGTGAGTTTTATAGTTTACAGATATTTTCTTCTTGTCCTGTCAGTTGCCTCTTCACTTTGCTGATTGTTTCTTTTGCAATGCAGAAATTCTCAATTTGATGTAATCCCACTTGTCGATTTTGGCTTTGATTGATTGTGCCGTTGGGGTCTTTTCCAAGAACTCTTTGCCTGTCCCAATGTCTTGTGGGATTTCCCCAGTGTTATCTAATAATTTGATGATACTGTGTCACAGATTTAGGTCTTTAGTCCATCTTGCCTGGGGATTTTTGTGTAAAGTGTAAGGTAGGGGTCTTGCTTCATGCGTCTGCATGTGGAGATCCAGTTTCCCCAGCACCATTTGTTGAAGAGACTGTCCTTGTTCCAGGGATTGGTTTTAGCTCCTTTGTCAAAAGTAAGTTGGTTGTAGATGTTTGGACTGATTTCTGGCATTTCTGTTCTGTTCCATCAGTCTATCCTTCTGTTTTTGTATCAGTACCAGGCTGTTTTGATTATAACCACCTTGTAGTATGTCTTGATATCTGGTATTTTGATGCCTCTGGCTTTGTTTTGTTGTGTAAGATTGCTCTAGCTATTTGAGATCTCTGCTGCCTCCATTTAATTTCAGCATTGTTTTTTCTATATCTGAGAATAATGTCTTTGGTATTTTGATTGGTATTGCACTGAATCTATAAATTGCTTTCAATAGTATGGACATTCTGATGATATTGATTCTTCCAATGCATGAGCATGGAAGATTTTTTCCATTTTTTGACTACTACTTTAATATTTTGTCATTCTTATCACAGAGATCTTTGAGATCCTTGGTTAAATTTATTCCAAGATATTTGATTTTTTTGGTAGCTATTGTGATTGGGATTGATAAAAGCTCTTTGTCAGCTGTGGCATTGTCTGTGTATAGAAAGGCTGTGATTTTTAAGTGTTGATCAAGTCATCTGCAAATAAGGATAATTTGACTTCCTCCTTCCCAACTTGTATCACTTTGTTTTCTTTTCTTGCCTGATGGCTCTGGCTAAAATTTCCAGGATTATATTGAATAGCAATGGTGAGAGTGGGTATCCTTGTCTGGTTCTGGATCTCACTGGAAATGCTTCCAACTTTTCTCTGTTCAATATGTTGCTGGCTGTGGGTTTGTCATAACTTGTCCTGATGGTGTTGAGAAATGTTCCTTGTATTCTGATTTTGCTTAGAGTTCTCATCGTGAAAGGGTGTTACATTTTGTTGAATGCTTTCTCTGTCTATTGAGATAATTATATGGTTTTTGTTCTTCAATTTTTTGATGTAATATATCACACTAATTTACAAGTGTTGAACCATCCCTGCATACCAGGTATAAATCCCACTTGGTCAGGGTGAATGATTTTCTGATGTGAAGTTGGATTCAATTGGCTAGTATTTTGTTGAGGATTTTTGTGTCTGTGTTCATCAGGGAAATTGTTCTATAGTTTTCTTTCTCTGTTGTATATTTTTTCCAAATTTAGGAATTAAGGTGATGCTGGCTTCATAGAATTTGGGAGGATTCCCTCCCTTCCAATTGTCTAGAATAGCTTGAGGAGAAATGGAGTTAGTTTCTTCATTAAATGTCTGGTAGAATTCAGTGAAGCCATCCCATGCTGGGCTTTTCTCTGTTGGGAGGGTCTTTATTACTGATTCAATTTCCACCTTGGTTATTGGTCTGTTTAGGTTTTCTATGTTTTCCTGGCTCATTTAGGCAGGTTGTTTGTGTACAGAAATGTATCCATTTCTTCTAGGTTTCTCATTCTATTGGCATACAGCTCTTTGCAGTAATTTCTGATTATTTTTATTTCCGTGGGGTCTGTAGTTATATTTCCTTTTTCATCTCTAATTTTATTAATTTCAGTCTTCTTTCTTTTTTCATTACTTGGGACAATGATGTGTCAATTTTGTTTATTTTTTCAAAAAACCAGCTATTCATTTTGCTGATCTTTTGTTTTATTGGTTTTGATTTTGTTGATTTCTTCTCTAATTTTAATTATTTTCTCCTGGTTTGGGGTTTGGTTTGTTGTTTTTCTA